GAGTCGATGGGTATCTACATGAGGCTATGGGTCTCTGCGTGAGTCTATGGGTCTTTGCGTGAGTGTATGGGTCTCTGCATAAGCTTTTGGGTCTCTGTGTGAGCCTATGGGTCTCTGTGAGCCTATGGGTCCCTGCATGAGGCTATGGGTCTCTGCGTGAGGCCATGGGTCTCTACGTGAGGCTATGGGTCTCTACATGAGTCTATGGGTCTATGTGTGAGTCTATGGGTCTCTGTGTGAGTCTATGGGTCTCTGCATGAGCCTATGGGTCTCTGCGTGAGCCTATGGGTCTCTGCGTGAGCCTATGCGTGTCTACGTGAGTCTATGGGTGTCTGTGTGAGTATATGGGTCTCTGCATGAGGCTGTGGTTCTCTACGTGAGTCTATGGGTCTCTGCGTGAGTATATGGGTCTCTACGTGAGGCTATGGGTTTCTGTGTGAGCGTATGGGTGGCTACGTGAGTCTATGGGTCTCTGTGTGAGCCTATGGGTCCCTGCATGAGGCTATGGGTCTTTGCGTGAGGCTATGGGTCTCTACATGAGTCTATGGGTCTATGTTTGATTCTATGGGTCTATGTGTGAGTCTATGGGTCTCTGTGTGAGTTTATGGGTCTCTACGTGAGGCTATTCGTCTCTGTGTGATTCTATGGATTTCTGCGTGAGGCTATGGGTCTTTGCTTGAGAATATGGGTCTCTGCGTGAGGCAATGGGTCTCTATGTGATTCTTTGGGTCTATGCTTGAGTCTATGGGTCTATGTGTGAGTCTATGGGTTTCTGCGTGAGGCTATGGGTCTCTGCATGAGCCTATGGGTGTCTACGTGAGTCTATGGGTCTCTGTGTGAGTCTGTGGGTCTCTGCGTGAGTTGATGGGTCTCTGCGTGAGGCTATGGGTCTCTGTGTGAGCCTTTGGGTGTCTACGTTAGTCTCTGGGTCTCTGTGTGAGTCTATGCATCTCTACGTGAGGCTATGAGTCTCTGCGTGAGGCTATGGGTCTCTATGTGATTCTATGGGTCTATGCGCGAGTCCATGGGTCTATGTGTGAGTCTATGGGTTTCTGCATGAGGCTATGGGTCTCTGCGTGAGACTATGGGTGTCTACGTGAGTCTATCGATGTCTGTGTGAGTGTATGCGTCTCTGCATGAGTCGATGGGTCTCTACGTGAGGCTATGGGTCTCTGCGTGAGGCCATGGGTCTCTACGTGAGTCTATGGGTCTATGTTTGAGTCTATGGGTCTATGCGTGAGTCTATGGGTCTCTGTGTGAGTTTATGGGTCTCTACGTGAGGCTATGGGTCTCTGTGTGAGTCTATGGATTTCTGCGTGAGGCTATGGGTCTTTGCGTGAGAATATGGGTCTCTTCCTGAGGCAATGGGTCTCTTTGTGATTCTATGGGTCTATGCTTGAGTCTATGGGTCTATGTGTGAGTCTATGGGTTTCTGCGTGAGGCTATGGGTCTCTGCATGAAACTTTGCGTGTCTACATGAGTCTATGGGTCTCTGTGTGTGTCTTTACATCTATGCGTGAGCCTATGGGTCTCTGCATGAGCCTATGGGTGTCTACGTGAGTCTATGGGTCTCTGTGTGAGTCTATGCATCTCTACGTGAGGCTATGGGTCTCTACGTGAGGCTATGGGTCTCTGTGTGAGTCTTTGGGTCTCTGCGTGAGTCGATGGTTCTCTGCGTGAGGCTATGGGTCTCTCTGTGAGCCTATGGGTGTCTACGTGAGTCTATGGTTCTCTGTGTGAGTCTATGCATCTCTACGTGAGGCTATTGGTCTCTGCGTGAGGCTATGGGTCTCTATGTGATTCTATGGGTCTATGCGTGAGTCCATGGGTCTATGTGTGAGTCTATGGGTCTTTTCGTGAGTGTATGGGTCTCTGCGTGAGCCTATGGGTCTCTGTGTGAGCCTATGGGTCTCTGTGTGCCTATGGGTCTCTGCGTGAGGCTCTGGATCTCTGCGTGAGGCTATGGGTCTCTGTGTGAGCCTATGGGTGTCTACGTGAGTCTATGGGTCACTGTGTGAGTCTATGGGTCTCTACATGAGGCTATGGGTCTCTGCGCGAGGCTATGGGTCTCTATGTGATTCTATGGGTCTATGCGTGAATCTATGGATCTATGTGTGAGTCTATGGGTTTCTGCGTGAGGCTATGGGTCTCTGCATGAGACTATACGTGTCTACATCAGTCTATGGGTCTCTGTGTGAGTCTATGGGTCTCTGTGTGAGTCTATGGGTCTCTGTGTGAGTCTGGGTCTCTGTGTGATTCTATGGGTCTCTGTGTGATTTTATGGGTCTATGCGTGAGTTTATCGGTCTATGCGTAAGTCTATGGGTCACTGTGTGAGTCTATGGGTCTCTGTGTGAGTCTATGGGTCTTTGCGTGAGCGTATGGGTCTATCTGTGAGTCTATGGGTCTCTGCTTGAGTCGATCGGTCTCTACGTGAGGCTGTCGGTCTCTGCGTGAGGCTATGGGTCTCTATGTGAGTCTATGGGTCTATGCGTGAGGCTATGGGTCTCTTTGTGAGGCTATGGGTCTCTACGTCAGTCTATGGGTGTATGCGTGAGTCTATGGGTGTCTGTGTGAGTCTATGGGTGTCTGTGTGAGTATATGGGTCTCTGCGTGAGTCTATGGGTCTATGCGTGAGTCAATGGGTATCTGCGTGAGGCTGTGGGTGGCTGCGTGAGTCTATGGGTCTCTGCGTGAGGCTGTGGGTCTCTGCGTGAGTCTATGGGTATCTGCGTGAGGCTGTGGGTCTCTGCGTGAGTCTATGGGTATCTGCGTGAGGCTGTGGGTCTCTGCGTGAGTCTATGGGTCTCTGCGTGAGGCTATTGGTCTCTGCGTGACTCACTGGTGGACCTTGCTTAGATCATCAATTTAGTAGACTTGAGGAGGTCACGCTTTAAATTCCTGGCTCTCAGTGGGGCCAGCTCAGTGCTCTGATCTCGAAGCCACGCGCCCTCCTCTGTTAACATCGATTCTTCATCTCGTTGTTCAGGCATCACATCACAGGTTTGTAACAATCAACGCGTGTTAATTTTTTTTCTTCCATTCGTATTGTACAGGGTGGCCAGGAAGTCGGGTAACACAGGGTTACTACTCTGCTGTATTTATTTTAACAGAAATATGCCGAGTCACCCTTGCAAAGGAGCTCATATTTTGCACAATGAGGACGACTGCCTGTGTTGCGATCGAAGCTTCGTGATATTTGTATTAACTTTATTTTTATTCTAGATTTTTTTTTCTTCTAGATATATTTGCATTATTTAATTGTCATTTTTTTATCTACGTGACCATAGAATTAAAAGAGCTTATTTATAATCAAGGTTTGTGGGTTAGATCGTGTAAATATAAATGTTGCTTAAACCCGCCACCGCCTTACACAGCCAATTAGTAAGCTTTGCCACGTGAACAAAACGGGTCAATTAGCTTTCACTTCAGCACACGGGATGCAGAGTGGAGAGAAAATCAGTATACACAACTCGACAATATTATAATATGAGGACCTTCATAGCTCAAGGGGCTTTGCTCCTATTGGGAATCCGTGAAAGAGAGCTTTGTAGCTCATCAGATTTCTCTTCCTGTCTAAGTAAATATCCTGATCCTGGCTTTGGAAATTAACTGCTGATTTTCCTGGACTTCTGAGATCACGTCGGGTTATTTCATCCACTTTAACTTTAACAAACTTAAAAACTGACGAGCATTACACATTAATGCACGATGCATGCGTTCTCTTGAAGTTGAATTTAGGACGTCTTTGTTTAAGATTACAGGTTTTGTAATCTATGAATATTAATCAATTCTATTTTGTTGTCGAAATTCGTTCAGGGATTTCTAAAGGACGGATTGAGGTGATACCCACGTGAAGAATACAATTTTACATGAATAATAATAATAATGATAGACACAACATTAACTTAATGAATAAACAATGACAATGTTATAATTGTGGCGTTAAAATAAATGAAATATCCCAGTGTTTCCTGACTTTTGGGCCGCCCGGTTAATATAGTATCTCCAATAGCCCCAAGACGCCCAGCGACCAGCAACAAAACAGCACCGTTAAAGTGGTAAATAGGTCGGCGTGTAGTAACACGTTTTATTTTGATCGAGCGAGATTATATCCACGGGAAGAACTACGAGGAGAGAAGCGGTCGATGATCATTGTGATGATGGGAGGAGGGAATGAGAAGAACGGGTGATGGCGGTGGTGAGTGCCTCACTCACGGGACGCCTTGAGCAGGAGGTGCTCCGGTTTTTGCTGGGATGAGCAGAAGGGGGAGATGGGAGCGGCTTATTTTTTATTTTTTATTTTCACGTAAATTGAATTCTTTCGCACCGTACGTAGCCAACCGTGCTCATTGGTGGTGCGGGGGAAGGACAACCAACTAAACGCAAAAGCGGTCCTAAAGAAATGAGTATTCATTATAGATGATTTTTAAAAAGTGCATAGCTCCAAGGAAGATCATTCCAGGCGGCCGCAGAAGCGCAATCTGAAAAGCGCGCACATTGCAGTGACCACCGTCTTTGTGCGATGGTTAGCCATGATGAAGAACTTCCCTGGGACAGTGCGAGGCAAGGAGCAAAAGATAGGTGAGGTGACCTGCAGTGTGATGAGTGGATGAGTGAGTGAGTGAGTGGGTGGATGAGTGAGCGAGTGAGTTTGGCGAAGTGAATTGTTGTGACCTGCAGTGTGGTGGTTGACCAAACAGTGTCCGGTACAGACCGAGTGCTCGACCAGGGGTCGAGGAATCTTCGAGTGATGGTCACGGGAACACGGCAGCGCTAGAAGAGCGATTTAAGGGGTGGGGGGGGGGGGGGTGCGAACTGAAGGAAGAGCGTTCCAGACGGCCGTGTATCTGAAAGTGACGCTCGATTCGGCGACCGTCTTTGCTCGATGGCCAGCCGAAATCCGCCACGAGAGCGTAATTGTTTAACACAGGTTCCCATAGTCCACAAAACGTCAAGCGGCCAGCAACAAACCGCACCGTGCTCTCCCCCTCCACCTAGACCGCCCACCGCCGCCGGTGAACGTGTCGGTGAGCGCCGTGCGTGCCTCCTCCGTGATCGTGTCCTGGGACGTCGCGGATGGAGACTCCGTCATCGGTTACGCCATCTCGCAGCAGGTGGGCATTGTCACGTCGCCAGTGGGTTCACTGAGCGGGGTTTGGTGGCTCACACACGCATAGACAAAGACAAAGATCCCTGCGGATAGCCTCAACAGACTGTCGGTGCAAGTGCTGCTAGCGAGCACCTATGAAGGCCGGCACGGCACACGAAGGGGGGGGTGGGTGACCAGCACCGCGCACCGGCAGTGGCGATGTTGACACACCGCGCCAGGTGCTCATTTGAAGCTGAGTCGACCAAGGGGAGCCCCAGGACCGCTTAGCGCAGCGTGCCGACCACTACACTACCGCTCCGCACGCGCGCGCACACACACACGCACACAACAACAACAACCGCCATTCGCCACTAAGTGGCGGTGACATCACCACGACGCTTGTGCCAGGCCATGTGCACCTTGAGGCCACGTGAAGCGTCGAACGCCCGCTGGCAGGAGGTCACGGGGCAGACCCAGGTGCCATGGGTCAACTGACTGATATGAATGGCTGTTGCACCACCTGTGCCCCCTACTGTGCCAACCTGCTGTGCTTTAGCCACCCGGCACTCCGCTCGTTGTTGTGAGCATCGCTCCTCCGCCCTCCGTTGTTGTTGGAGGGCGACTGCCTCCAACTGCCCAGTAGCGTCCTTCATGAGCCTCCTCCACAGAGGCCGATCTTGACACCGCTGGTACCAGTCATCGGCAAGTCCACTCAGCTCCACGTCCTCCTGTACGACATCACTCCATCTCTTCTCTCGCCCGTGCCGCGCCCGTTTTGCCCCCTCGATCCGGCCGAACAAAAGCTGTTTCGGCATGCGGTGGCTGGGCATGCGGGCTACATGACCCAGCCAACGCAGCCTTGCCTGCCGGTGGAGCTCACCGATGGGACCGTGCCTAGATCTTTCAAGGATTTGTGAGCTCCTCACACAATCCAGCCTGGTTAAACCCAGGATGGATCGTAGGCAGGTCAGCCTAAATGTTTCTAACCGGCGAAGATGTTCCATTAGGGGGCCCACGTTTCGCAAGCGTAGAGAAGAGAGGGAATGACTGTGGCCGAGAAGACCTGAAGCTTAGTGCGGAGTGACAGACCAGGTAGCTTCCACACAGCATTATGCATCTGATGAAAAGATATTGCCGCTCGACTGATTCGGAGTGAGACCTCTGCTGTTAAACTGGAGCCGGTCATAAGCACACTGCCCAGGTATGGGAAACTCTCCACTCTCTCCACAGCTGCCCCATCACCGATTGGGAGTTGTGGGGGTGGAGTGTCCGATGGTACAAAATACCCAGGCAGGTGCTTAGTTTTGGTGGGGCTGATGGTAAGGCCCCATCTCTTAGTAGCACGCTCCAGTCTCAGCAGCAGCGTCTCCAACTCCTCCTCTGAATGAGCAGCTATTACCAAATCATCGGCATACATAACGTGGTTGAGTAATAGGCAGCCATCCCTTGACCGCACCCGGGCATCGATCAGCCTCCCATTATATCTGTACCATATGGAGATTCCCCCGGTACAGCTATTGAAGGCTTCACTCCAAGGTGTACAGGGAATGGCTCTGACTCCCGGCTACGTAATTTTACCCGGGCCTGCTCACCATCATGAAGGTCCTTAATAATCGTGAGCAGAGGGTCAGGTACTCCAAAAGCAGGAAGAACAACCCAGAGCCCAGGTCTACTGATGGTATCATAGGCCTTGACCAGGTCAATAAAGCAGAGATGTAGGTCTTGCTGGAATTCTCTACACCTCTGCTGTAACAGACGGACAGAAAATATGGCATCTGTGCAGGACCGCCCTTTCCTGAAACCGCATTGGGGCTCCGCAAGCCTCTCCTCAGCGTGCCTGGCAAGGCGATGTTGAATAATCCTTGCCAGGACCTTTCCCGGCACACTGAGGAGTGCGATGCCCCTGTAGTTGTTACAGTCTGTGCGGTCCCCCTTCTTAAAGAGGGGGACCACCAGGGCATCCTTCCTATCCTGCGGAACCCGTCCAGTGGTCCAGACTGTTTTTATGATATCATATAGGGCAGTCTGTGCACAAACGCCACCCTCCCTCAGCATTTCGCTTGGGAGATCATCTCTGCCCGCTGCCTTTCCTGGTCTCAGACTCCGGATCGCCTTCAGTACTTCCTCAACAGATGGCACCTCAGCCAGCCACTCACAGGGGGTGACTTCTTCCAATATTTGAGGCACCGCAGCCTCAGCAGGGTCATCCTCACTTTGTGCCACGATGTTTTCCTGGCTGAGGGATTTTCCCTCCCCCAGGACCTCACAGAAATGTTCAGCAAATCTGCAAACTTGTTCCTGGGGGTCGGAGATTAGATCACCGTTTTTCCCCTAATGATGGTAATAGGTGTGGTGCTGCAGGTTACTTTTTTGATGGAGTTAAATCGAGATTTGTGATCGTGGGCCACTGAGGCAGACTCCAACTCCTCAGCAACCCGCGACCACCACCCATCCTTGCAGAGCCTCACGGCTCTCTGAACCTCCGAGCGAAGGCTGCGGTAAGCCTCCTCATTCTCTGACGTGGGATTCTGTAGCCGATGACAGTGGGCCTGTCGCTTTTTCTCAACCATCCTGAACACCTCCTCTGTCAGTCAGGGTCTTTGGGGAGGTCTGGAGCGCGTACCCAAAGCAGCCATTGCAGCTGCATGAGTCACAGTCCTAAACCTCGCCCATTTACCCTCGACATCAGGAGGAGTGGGGGACGATGCCAACCCCAGCCGCAAGCGATGATGAGATTCTCTCTTGCAACTTTCAGATAACTGAGACTAGGCCACTTTAGGTTGGAATGGGGTCCTGGGTGTACACCCACCACTGGAGTGGAAGAATGGCAGGCGCATCTTACAGATGACTAGTCGATGGTCAGAGGGCAGATCAGCTCCACGGTAGGTCCTGGTGTCAAGGACATGGGCTCGCATCCGCTGGTCCATCACTATGTAGTCCAGCAGATGTTCTTGCTTGGACCCGGCATGCATCCATGATGTTGTGTGGATGTGCCGATGCCGGAACAGCGTGTTGGTAATTACAAGCCCATGGGCTGCACAAAAATCTAGCAGCCTCCTACCGTTGTTATTGAGCTGATCTGGCCCATGCCCTCCAATCACTCCAGACCAGGTGCCAGCATCATGACCAACTCGGGCATTGAAGTCACCCAACATGATGACTGTATCCCGAGGTGCCACTTTAGCCAGCACCTGTGACAGGAGGTCATAGAAAGCATCTGACTCATCGGCTTTGCCTGCATCCCTCCACGGATGTTCATCTTCGGTGGGGGCATAAGTAACCACGACCACCACTCCTCGCCTCCGGTTGATGGGAAGGCGAACCCAAAGTAGCCTGGGGCTTACAGCTCCCACGCCCCCTTCATTCTTTTGTTCCAAAGAAGAGCCACACCCTGTTGTTTGGCAGTCTGCTACCCCGAGTCGAGGACTGTCCACCCCTCATGGTGGCAGGAGCCGGAACCAGTCCACCGGACCTCCTGAATGCCACAGAGATCCAGGCGGTACCGGTCCAGCTCCCGACAGAGGAGTGGCAGCCTCTCCTCCGCAGTGAGTGTTCGAACATTCCACGTGGCCATCCGTAGTGGCTTTTCGTTGTTTCTGGAGGAGCCCCGAGGGTAGAGATTGAATCTCCTGGCTCCGCCAATTGGGTTTTGGCCAGGAGACGTCATACACGCCTGTCCCCCCAGGGCCTCCGGCACAAGCTTATTAGTTACATATTTCAGTTTAACTCACGTGCACACATGCACACGCACACACACGCACACACGCACACACACACACGCACGCGCACACACGCACACACACGCGCACACATACGCACACGCACACACACACACGCACACACACACACACACGCACACACACGCACACACACGCGCACACACACGCACACACACACACGCACACACGGAAACACACACACACACACGCGCACACACACGCGCACACACGCGCACACACACGCACACACACGCATGCACACACGAACACACACGCGCACACACACGCACACACACGCGCACACACACGCGCACACACACGCACACACACACGCACACACGCGCACACACACACACGCACACACGCGCCAATGTCGTCGTGAAGCGAGGGCAGGGGGCGGTACAGCAGAAACCGTGGACTCCGTCTGTTCCGTCTGCATGGGATCGCGTGTTGCTCCCTTGCTCGAGGTGGGTTTCCTCCGGCGTAGCTCCAGTTTCCTCCCACACGTAAACGCTCCGTCATTGGCCGGTAACACCTTCATATGTAGGGGCTCACAGAGCTTTGTGGGGAGGGGGAATTTGGCGTCAGATGAACGCGTGGCTGCTGCTGCTGCCTCATCCTCGTCTGTGGCCCCGCAGCGTTACAATTTGTTGACATTACCGTAGGGTGGTAATGTGGCCCAGCGGTCGTGGGGGTTTACAGTTCGAATCCAGTGGGCCGCCCCGATGTAATAGCACGCGTGTATCAATCGTGGAAATGCGACTATTTCACGCGCTCTGCTTCGCTCACTGTGGACGTTAAAGATCCCGTGATGTGATTCGCAAAGAGGAGGGCATTTGCGTGCAGGCGTCAGGGCCCACGTTTTTGAAGGAAAATGACTCGGCTAGGGTCACACACACGGTAGCAGCAGCAACGTCGCCCCCGACTTACAATGCACGCTGTGTATCCCGGAGTCACGACACACCAGTCTCACTCGCTGTGTCACTGTCTCACCGTGTCACCACGTTCCCATGTCTCCGTGTCACTGTGTCACCGTGTCACTGTGTCGCTGTCTCACTCACTGTGTCACCACGTTCTCGTGTCACCGTGTCACCATGTCATCGCGTCACTGTGTCACCGTGCCACTGTGTCACTGTGTCGCTGTGTCACTCACTGTGTCACCACGTTCCCGTGTCAACGGGTCACTGTGTCACCGTGTCACCGTGCCACTGTGTCACCGTCTCACCGTCTCACAGTGTCACTGTGTCACCGTGTCACTGTGTCGGCGTGTCACCGTGTCACTGTGTCACTGTGTCACTCACCGTCTCACCATGTCACCATGTCACCGTCTCACCGTGTCACCGTCTCACCGTCTCACCGTGTCACCGTCTCACCGTGTCACCGTGTCACCGTCTCACCGTGTCACCGTCTCACCGTCTCACTGTCTCACCGTGTCACCGTCTCACCGTCTCACCGTCTCGCCGTGTCACCATCTCACCGTGTCACCGTCTCACCGTGTCACCGTCTCACCGTGTCACCGTCTCACCATGTCACCGTCTTACCGTGTCACCGTGTCACCGTCTCACCGTGTCACCGTCTCACCGTCTCACCGTCTCACCGTCTCACCGTGTCACCGTGTCACCGTCTCACCGTGTCACCGTGTCACCGTCTCACCGTGTCACCATCTCACCGTGTCACCGTCTCACCGTGTCACCGTGTCACCGTGTCACCGTCTCACCGTGTCACCGTGTCACCGTCTCACCGTGTCACCGTCTCACCGTGTCACCGTGTCACCGTGTCACCGTCTCACCGTGTCACCGTGTCACCGTCTCACTGTGTCACCATCTCACCGTGTCACCATCTCACCGTGTCACCGTGTCACCATCTCACCGTGTCACCGTCTCACCGTCTCACCGTGTCACCGTCTCACCGTGTCACCGTCTCACCGCGTCACCGTCTCACCGTGTCACCGTCTCACCGTGTCACCGTCTCACTGTCTCACCGTGTCACCGTCTCACCGTGTCACCGTCTCACCGTGTCACCGTCTCACCGTGTCACTGTCTCACCGTGTCACCGTCTCACCGTGTCACCGTGTCACCATCTCACCGTCTCACCGTGTCGCCGTGTCACCGTCTCACCGTGTCACCGTCTCACCGTGTCACCGTCTCACCGTGTCACCGTCTCACCGTGTCACCATGTCACCGTCTCACCGCGTCACCGTCTCACCGTGTCACCGTCTCACCATGTCACCGTGTCACCGTCTCACTGTGTCACCGTCTCACCGTGTCACCGTCTCACCGTGTCGCCGTGTCACCGTGTCACCATGTCACCGTCTCACCGTGTCACCGTCTCACTGTCTCACCGTGTCACCGTCTCACCATGTCACCGTGTCACCGTCTCACCGTGTCACCGTCTCACCGTGTCACCGTCTCACCATGTCACCGTCTCACCGTGTCACCGTGTCACCGTCTCACCGTGTCACCGTCTCACCGTGTCACCATCTCACCGTCTCACCGTGTCACCGTCTCACCGTGTCACCGTCTCACCGTGTCACCGTGTCACCGTCTCACCGTGTCACCGTGTCACCGTCTCACCGTGTCACCGTCTCACCGTGTCACCGTCTCACCGTCTCACCGTGTCACCGTGTCACCGTCTCACTGTGTCACCGTCTCACCGTCTCACCGTCTCACCGTGTCACCGTGTCACCGTCTCACCGTGTCACCGTCTCACCGTGTCACCGTGTCACCGTCTCACTGTGTCACCATCTCACCGTGTCACCATCTCACCGTGTCACCGTGTCACCATCTCACCGTGTCACCGTCTCACCGTCTCACCGTGTCACCGTCTCACCGTGTCACCGTCTCACCGTGTCACCGTCTCACCGCGTCACCGTCTCACCGTGTCACCGTCTCACCGTGTCACTGTCTCACTGTCTCACCGTGTCACCGTCTCACCGTGTCACCGTCTCACCGTGTCACCGTCTCACCGTGTCACCGTGTCACCATCTCACCGTCTCACCGTGTCGCCGTGTCACCGTGTCACCGTCTCACCGTGTCACCATGTCACCGTCTCACCGCGTCACCGTCTCACCGTGTCACCGTCTCACCATGTCACCGTGTCACCGTCTCACTGTGTCACCGTCTCACCGTGTCACCGTCTCACCGTGTCGCCGTGTCACCGTGTCACCATGTCACCGTCTCACCGTGTCACCGTCTCACTGTCTCACCGTGTCACCGTCTCACCATGTCACCGTGTCACCGTCTCACCGTGTCACCGTCTCACCGTGTCACCGTCTCACCCTGTCACCGTCTCACCGTGTCACCGTGTCACCGTCTCACCGTGTCACCGTGTCGCCGTCTCACTGTGTCACCGTGTCACCGTCTCACCGTGTCACCGTCTCACCGTGTCACCATCTCACCGTCTCACCGTGTCACCGTCTCACCGTGTCACCGTCTCACCGTGTCACCGTCTCACCGTCTCACCGTCTCACCGTCTCACCGTCTCACCGTGTCACCGTGTCACCGTCTCACCGTGTCACCGTCTCACTGTGTCACCGTGTCACCGTCTCACCGTCTCACCGTCTCACCGTCTCACCGTCTCACCGTGTCACCGTGTCACCGTCTCACCGTCTCACCGTCTCACCATCTCACCGTCTCACCGTGTCACCGTCTCACCGTCTCACCGTCTCACCGTCTCACTGTCTCACCGTGTCACCGTCTCACCGTCTCACCATCTCACCGTCTCACCATCTCACCGTGTCACCGTGTCACCGTCTCACCGTGTCACCGTGTCACCGTCTCACGGTGTCACCGTGTCACCGTCTCACCGTCTCGCCGTGTCACCGCAGAAGCGCCCGGGCGCTCGCCAGCGCTTCATCACCGAGGTGAACACGACGGCACGCTCGTGCCTGCTGTGGGGCCTCGAGGCTGGCAGTGACTACGTGGTGGCCGTGCAGGCGCTGGGCCGCGGCGGGGCGGCCAGCGAGCCCAGCCCCGGCCTGCGCTTCAGCACCCCCCTCGCGGAGGAGGACGGCGAGCGCGACAACTCCTCGTCGCGCTCATCCTCGTCGCCCTCCTCCTCCTCCTCGTCGTCGTCGCTGTCTGCGGCGTCGTCGCTTTCGGCGCATGGAGGAGGTGGGTGACCGGGGCATGCGGGGAGGAGGTGGTGGTGGTGGTTGCTGTTGTTGTTAATGTTGGGATGTGTGTGTGTGTAAGGTGGTGGTGGTTGTTGTTAATTTTGGGATGTGTGTGTAAGGTGGTGGTTGTTGTTAATGTTGGGATGTGTGTGTGTGTAAGGTGGTGGTAGTGGTTGTTGTTGTTGAGGTTCGGATGTGTGTGTGTAAGGTGGCGGTGGTTGTTAATGTTCGGATGTGTGTGTGTAAGGTGGTGGTGGTTGTTGTTAATGTTGGGATGTGTGTGTGTGTAAGGTGGTGGTGGTTGTTGTTGTATATGTTGGGATGTGTGTGTGTGTAAGGTGGTGGTGGTGGTGGTTGTTGTTAATTTTGGGATGTGTGTGTGTAAGGTGGTGGTTGTTGTTGTTGTTGTTAATGTTGGGATGTGTGTGTGTAAGGTGGTGGTGGTTGTTGTTAATGTTGGGATGTGTGTGTGTGTGAGGTGTTGGTGATGAAAGTGGTGGTAGTGGTTGTTATTGTTGGGATGGTGCATGCGAGGAGGACGAGGTGGTGTTAGTGGTGGTGGTGTTAGTGGTGTTTTGTTGTTGTTGTTAATGTTTGCACGTGCATGCCAGGAGGAGCCCCCTATCCTCCAAAGACAAATATACCCCAGGTTGTTCACAACGGTTTTAGGGACAAGTGCTGTTTGAGGACACATTAAGGCCGGGTACACATTGAAGGCCCGGTAGATCTAGCGGGGAGGCCCAGGGTGAGGTTAAATATTCGCTGTGGAAGGTGCCTTAGGAGTGTAAATCACTGTGTATTGCTACGATTGCATGTGTGCATTCGGCAGTCATCGGACGATGTGGCACATTGTTTATTTATTTATTTGTTTGCTCATCTTGCCGATCCGGGCGACAGCCGGATCATTCAGCAGCTTGAAGAGAGGGCCCTGAGACCCCCACCTGAGACCCCCACCTGAGACCCCCACCTGAGACCCCCACCTGAGACCCCCACCTGAGACCCCCACCTGAGACCCCCACCTGAGACCCCCACCTGAGACCCCCACCTGAGACCCCCATCTGAGTCCCACGTGGGGTGTTGCCCCACGTGGCTGCTGCCACCGGCGCGTCGGTGCCGAGCTGACGTGGCCCAGCAGTGGCGCGATCGTCACTTTGTCGCTTTGCTGTTGGAATCCGCCCGCCCTGGTTAATACCGTGCTGGGTGTGTATGTGTGTGCGCGCGTGTGTGTTTACTGTTGTGGGGAGCGATAGTGCTGCGGTTAGCGCGCTTGCGCTATGAACCTGGCGACCCGGGTTCGATTCCCGCTCACGGCCAACACCAGTGACGATTATCTGAACCGGTCCCGGGCCTCCCCTAGGTCGACTCAGCCTTAAATGAGTACCTGGTGTGGTGTGTAAACATTGCCACTAGGGAGACAAAGGCGGTCGGGCGTGGCGCTGGCCACCCACCCCCTCGTGTACCGTTCCGGCCTTTATAGGTGCTCGCTAACAGCACTTGCCCCTACAGTCTGTTAAGGCTATACGGGGGATCTTTATCTTTGTGTTTACTGTGGGGAGCGGTAGTGCTGCGGTTAGCGCTACGAACCTGGTGGCCCGAGTTCGATTCCCGCTCACGGCCAACCCCACCAGTGACGATTATCTGAACCGGTTCTGGACCTTCCCCTAGGTCGACTCAGCCTCAAATGAGTACCTGCTGCGGTGTGTAAACATCGCCACTATGGGGACAAAGGCTGCCGGGCGTGGTGTTGGCCACCCACCCCCTCGTGTACCGTTCCGGCCTTCATAGGTGCTTGCTAACAGCACTTGCCCCTACAGTCTGTTCAGGCTACACCGGGGATCTTTGTTTATTTACCCTATAATTGTCGGAGGCTCGTCAAGGGACTCTACTGGGTTAGTTGGGGGCAGTCGCTTTACAACGACAGCGGATGGACATTGTGTGCCGGCCCACGGTTCAAATTTGCTGCCGGATTTTGAAAAATGACACCGCACGTTTTGCCCTCTTGGGATGGCAAACACGTCGCAGCAGCAATCATCACTCGAATATGGCAGATGCCGATACCCCTATGCACAAATCGAATTTTTTTTAAAAACTCTCAGGTCTTCGACTTTGGTCATTCAGAACAGAACGTACAACGCAGGGCGATGCAATGCCCGATTCACAAATACGAAGGTGACATCGCAAGTGATGCAATTCCACTGCTCCTGGCACGGTTATCTGGCCTGACCCACCCGGAAATTGTAGTCGATGCTCTGCATCTACATCAGCAAGGAAAAGAAGAGGGGAAGGTCGGGCCCCTATTCCAGCGGTAACTTGGCAAGGCCCTCCTTAAGGAAGAGTCGTGAAAATCAGTCGGGATTTGCTGAAATAAAGAAGTGCATGTTTTTGGTTCTTTCGGTAAAGTCACCACATAGAAGGGAAACAATAAAATAAATCTTAAATTTCGATTTAAAGCTTTCGTGACTGCAATGATTCATCTTCTTTGGTTCTTTCGGTAAAGTCACGTAGAATGAGAATAAAATAATAAATTGATAAAATAAAATAACACAATAATATTCTCACGACGTTTCGGCCACAACACAAGCGGCCTTCATCAGGTGAAGGGAGCGAGACTGTCTGGTAGGACAGCGCTGGAGTGAGAGAGCCACGTTCAGATCACGGCTTTTAAGCTGTGTGAGAGGAACAAAGAGCCTTGACGAAGGAATTAGCATAAAATTTAGCATTGAAAAGGCTGAATGATTAGCTTGTGACTGGTCACAGAAATAGCTATGTTAAAAGTTAAAGCATACACATCCGCAGAGGCACCCATTGTTAAAAGGAATTAGCATAGAATTTAGCATTGCAATAGCTAAATTAAGGCATTCGCTTGTAACTGCTACAGAAATAGTTACGTTGAAGTCAGAGCATACACATTCACCGAGGCACTTAGTACAAATCAAAACAGGAGAATTTAGCATTGAAATAACTAGGCGAATTTAGCATTGAAATAACTGGGTGATTTGCTAGTGACTGGTCACAGAAATGACTACAAATCTGAGCTATTCACAGTACTATATAGTGAACCAATAAAAACTAAAATATAAATTACCTTCATGTTATCAATAAACTCTATATTCTCCAATCAGCTAAGCTACCAACCATAAGTCGTTATATATCACAATGCTATATGGCGAAAAAATGGGTGGATTCTTACCCTCAAATTTCCGTACCACGGATAGCTACGGGTCCCGTTCAGACGGACGAGATTGTCCATGGTCGGAACAGAGGAGGGGGAGAGAGACAGCTGCGAAGCCCTAGTATACTCCATGTTGTAAACCATACCATTAACCGTGGTGTGAGAGGTATTAAGAGGCAATGCTGGCGAAAGAGCTGCGGTCTGAAGGTCGTCGTAAAATTACAATTAATTAAGAACAGAAATGATTTAACACATCTTTCCAGTGGTTACTGAGCCTGAATCCATCTTCTCGGTTGAAATTGTCTCTGTGCTTGTATATGTGAATGGCCTCATGAACGAATCTCTCATGGTAGCCAGTTGGTTTGCAAAGAACCTCCGTCTTGGAGAAGTCAATGTCATGTGAGCCCACTGAATTGTAACAGTGATCTGCCACGGCAGAGGAGTTCGTCTTACCGTGTTTCAAGTCTGCTTTATGTTCGCGGATGCGATCCGAGATATGTCTTTTGGTTTCTCCAATGTAGCTACTACCACAGAGGCACTTTAGTTTGTAAACGCCCGGGTACTGTATGTCTGGAAGAGCATCTTTTACAGATGGAACTAAATCACGGATTTTGTGTACTGTGTTGAATCGGACCTGGATCTTGTGTTTATTCAGGATTTTGGAGATCTTTTTAGTGACCCCTGCAATGTAGGGTAAGGTGATGGTTTTGAGTGGCTCCACAAGAGGATCCTTCTTCATGACTGGAGTGATGGCTTTGCGGATTGTGTAGTCGGAGTAGCCATTAGCCCTGAGAGCCTGGTGTACGTGTTTGAGTTCACTGGTAATGTGTTCCTGGTCGGAAATGCATTGGGCTCTATGGTATAGAGTCTTGATGAGGCAGTTCTTCTGGGATGGATGGTGGTGGGAATCCGGTTTCAAGTAAGCATCTGTATGGGTAGCTTTCCTGTAGACAGAGTGGCTCATTGAACCATCATGTCTCCTTTTAATTAAGACATCCAGAAAGGGTAGTTTGCCATCTTTTTCGACCTCCATGGTAAATCTGATGGCTGGGTGTATGGAATTGATGTGGTCGCGGAATTGGTCTAGAGCAGGCTGGCCATGTGGCCAGATGACAAAGGTGTCATCAACGTACCTCTTCCATAAGGTCGGGCGTAGAGTGGCAGTCTGGATGGCGTCAGTTTCAAATTTTTCCATGAATACGTTGGCTACAACCGGAGATAGGGGGGAGCCCATTGGGGTGCCCTCAGTTTGTTTGTAGAAAGTTCCATTCCAGGTGAAGTATGTGTTGGTTAAGCAATGTCTCACCAGGGGGGGTACATCAGTATGCAGTCCTTGATGAACCAGGTCTTCAATGATAGCGATGGTGTCAGGTACCGGGACTTTGGTGAACAAGGACACCACATCAAAACTGACAAGCAGGTCGTTTGGGGACAGGGAAATGTCTTTGATTGTCGATACCAGGTGAGTAGAATTTAGTACCGCAAAACAACCCCCTACCTCCTCGCGGTGCCGGACGGGCAACTCTGTCGTGGACAGCGCTGTGGGGGGAGTTCCAATTTTGATTGGCTCCTCCCCTCATGGCATATGTGTCCACCACAGGGGCTAAACGGGGGCTCTGGACGGGTGCGAGGGGCTGGTAACCCCTCCACCTTCAATTAATTACCACAAAACCACGAATTAAACTGAAATATGTAACAACTAAGCTTGTGCCGGAGGCCCCGGGGGGCCAGGCGTCTATGACGTCTCCTGGCCAAACCCCAATTGGCGGAGCCAGGAGATTGAATACCTACCCTCGGGGCTACTCCAGAAACAACGAAAAGCCACT